TGTGGGTACCAATCTCGGGCAGTTGGTGATTTTCCAAATGGGTCCCTGCCTGTTACCCTTCATGCCAAATCTGTCAAGAATGGTACTTTGGACAGTTTGGAATTGAGGAACTATGTCACAAGCTTGTATGTGAAATCTAGTAACTTGGCCTATGCACACAAGTTGTTTGATGAAAGTCCTGACAGAGATGTCCGGTCGTGGACTATACTTATATCGGGGTTTGCTCGAGTTGGATCATGCAAAATGGTGTTGGAACTTTTCAAAGAGATGCAATTTGATCGTGTTTGTCCGAACCAATTTACGTTGTCAAGTGTTCTAAAGAGTTGTTCCAGTTTAAGCGATTTTCAGACTGGGAAGGGAATTCACGGATGGATTTTGAGACATGGGATTGACTTGGATTTGGTGTTAGAGAACTCGATTCTCGACGTTTATGTAAAATGTGGCGGCTTTGATTATGCAGAGAGGTTATTTGAAGCTATGGAAGAGAGAGACACTGTTACTTGGAATATAATGATGGGTGCGTATATGCATGTTGGGGATATGGAGAAGGCTCTTGATTTGTTCAGAAGATTGCCCTTCAAAGATGTTGCTAGTTGGAATACAATTTTATACGGGCTAATGCAAAACGGGTGCGAAAGATACGCATTGGAGCTGCTCTATGAGATGGTGGAAAATGGACCGCCATTTAATCGGGTCACTTTCTCCGAAGCTCTGGTTTTGGCTTCATCTTTATCTGTTTTGGAACTGGGGAGACAAATTCACGGCTGTCTTCTAAGGCTTGGTATTCCAAACGATGGATTTCTTCAAACTTCCTTAATAGATATGTATTGCAAGTGTGGTAAGATGGAGAAGGCGATGCTAGTATTCAAAACAACACATTTGAGAGCAAATTCTAAGTTTACTTGTCATGAGACGAAGACGGAGATTGTATCATGGAGTTCAATGGTTTCCGGATATGTTCATAATGGCGAGTATGAATATGCTTTGCTAACCTTTTGTTCTATGGTTCATGAAAGGATTCAGGTGGACAGATTTTCTGTGACGAGTGTTGTTTCTGCATGTGCTAACATTGGGATTTTGCTTCTCGGTCAGCACATTCATGCTCACATTGAGAAAATCGGATACAAAAGTGATGTCCACTTAGGTTCCTCGTATATTGATATGTATGCTAAATGTGGGAGCCTAAACGATGCTCGGATGATCTTTAAACAAACCGGCGATCTAAATGTTGTGTTGTGGACTTCAATGATTTCAGCTTGTGCTTTACATGGGCAAGGCAAGGAAGCTGTTCAGCTTTTTGAACTCATGATAAAAGAGGGAATTAAGCCGAATGAGGTTTCTTTCGTGGTGGTTTTAAATGCCTGCAGCCACGCCGGGCTCCTTGAAGAAGGCCTCAAGTATTTCAGCTTGATGAAAGAAGTTTATGGCATCAAGCCTGGAGCTGAACATTTCACTTGTATGGCTGATATTTATGGTAGAGCAGGTCGCTTGGATGAGATTAAAGAGTTCATTCAAGCAAATGGCATCTCTCACCTGAGTTCAGTTTGGAAGTCATTTCTATCTTCATGTCGGGTTCATAAAAATTTTGAGCTGGGAAAGTGGGTTTCCGAAAGACTACTCCAACTCGAACCATTGGACGAGGGATCTTATGTTTTATTGTCAAACATGTGTTCTGTGAATCATAGATGGGAAGAAGCCGCTGACATAAGGAGTTTGATGCAAAAGAGAGGAATCAACAAAATCGCTGGTCAGTCTTGGATTCAACTGAAAAATCAAGTCCATTCTTTCGTCATGGGCGATAGGTCCCATCCACACTCCGCACGGATATATTCATATTTGGATGAGCTGATTGGAAGACTGAAGGAAATCGGGTACTCATCAGACATGAAAATGGTGATGCAGGACGTCGAGGAAGAACAACGAGAAGTACTTCTCAGTCATCACAGCGAAAAGCTTGCAGTTGCCTATGGCATCATAAGCACAACTTCTGGGGTGCCAATTCGGATCATGAAGAACCTCAGAGTGTGCACTGATTGTCATAACTTTATCAAATATACTTGTCAGCTTTTAGATAGGGAAGTAATTATTAGAGACATTCATCGCTTCCATCATTTTAAACATGGTCTCTGCTCCTGTGGAGATTACTGGTAAGACCCTAATGTAACGTGTTGTGCAAGTCATTCTAGTCATGCTCTGGATACGTTGCCATGGGGTGGACGCAAATATTGTCCCTAACTTAATTAGTCTATCGTGTCCCGCTTGATTAGCGTTTTGCTAATCATAGTATGAACTTGAAGAATCCTCCTACCAAATGAAGCCTGATTCGATCGACCTCAGAGTTTGTTGATTAAATTGTTCATCTTAGCGGCTCAACTCAAGTGACTTATAAAGGCATGTGAAAGGGATTTTTAAATTAAGGGGAACGACATTTTGAGTCCCCTCTATCTCTAACATTTTGTAGTCGGATTTTTTTACTAACTTGGCCTCAATACCTTGGTTTTTGGAAATCCATCACCCAAACATGGCCTACAAGAAAATTGAAGTTCAATGGCGGATGAACTTAAAAAGAGGTGGTGTTTGGAAAAACTCACACTTATAGAAGTTTTAGTGACTTAGCCATCAAGTTAGGGGTTTCGATCACGGAGTAGGATTCTCTCCCCTCCTATTTCCATCCCCTTCCCTCTCCCTCCTTCGATCACCATATAAAGAGGTCTCATCGGGAGATGTGACACACTACGTACTGCAGAGTAGCCCCAAAGTGTGTGTGTGTGTGTGTGATTTTATACAGATATACGCGCTCTAACCCTAATTGTCCCCAATTAAGCCCGAAACTCATGCAGTCTCTCTCTCTCACACACACACACACACAAAAGTCATGAAAGGCCGACCGCCGGAGGGCCTTGTGGGATCAGGACCTTGGCGGGAGAAGAAACCAGCCCAGTTGCTGGAGCTCCGAGGTGAGATCCGGACTCGTACGTCATGGTATGCATGCTTTTGGTTTTTGTTTTAGGGTTTGTGAGATGCGGACTGGTAAATTGATTGTAATTTTGAATATGCAGCATTTCAGTTCCGCTATCTCAGTTGGTAATCTGCGTATGTACATTCATGTTTTGAGTTTTGAGGAAACATATTAAACAAACTGCTGTTGGTTTCGTTACTACATTTGCAAGAATTGCCGTTTAATTAATTTCATACCTGAATAATTTTTTGAGTTGATATTTAAAAATTCCCTTTTAATTTATATTCAAATATGTATGTTTTTTTTGTTGGTTTATGTATATGTAGCAGCTAGATATTTATTTCACGAAGAATCAATTAACGTATGGCAATTTTGTTAAAAATGAAGAACACTATATAAGTGGAAACTTTAACGAATAGTTTCCGGTACTGTTCATTTTAACGCAAAATCACATTTTTACATTAAAAAGTTAATCATGTTACTATTTACTTTACCCTTTATTTTGTCCTTATCGTTAAAACTCAAAGTTTCCAAACCATTTTCATTAGTTTTCCTTATATAAAAATTGATATTGAGTTGTAATTTATGTGTATATTTCGATCCACCAAACAAACAGATGAGAAGAAGGAAGAAAAAGAGAGAACAAAGAGATGAGAAGAAAGAAGAAAAATAGAAGAAAAGGCTGGTGAGGACTCTCTGTCTCAACCAAATACCTTAACTTCAAAGAAGAAGAAGAATGAGAAGCAAGAAGAAAAGGCTGTTGAAGACTCTCTGAGTCGATCCCGACTTGAAGAAGAAGAAGAAGAAGAAGAAAAGGAAAAAACAAGGGCTGTTAAAGACTCCCTGAGTCAATTGTGAGAGACATTCATTGTCTCCGTCCTTTTTTATACACGATCTCTGCTACTCTGGAGATAACTGGTAATATTAAGGCTTGATGCATGAATGATGTTGTGCAACTCATTCTAGTACCCATCGCTATAGTCATCAAGCAGTTTAATTAGCGTAAATGGGGACTGGACGATTAGCGTTTCACCACCAAACGATGCCCGCTTCAGCCTCGGAGTTTGTTGATTGCTGTTTATCTTGTAACCAGAGCCATATAACAGAACGTATGAGCTAATCGACGACTAAACAATTTCCATGATCAGCCTTCCATTTGTTTTATGCACATGGACGACTAAACGATCTCCAAATTGAATGATTTTTACAAGTATGATCTCCAGATTAAAAGAATGTACGATTTCAATTATGATATTTGGACGATAAAAATTCGTTAATATTAAGTACGGGGACTTGTCCCACATAAAAAGAACACAAGCATTATTCTTGCTTACATATTTTTACTTGACCAAAAAAATAAATAAAGGTTGGTGGCAACACAAACGTAGCTTTCTTCCCTCAACGATTCCGTATTTTCTATGCTTGCAATCATTCATATATTATACGCCCCTAAAATTGGTAAGTAATACTAATAACCCAAATTGATCTTCCGAGCCATCAACATTGTTTGAGAGAAAATTACATAAAACGGGGGCACCAAGGTGACATTGTCTCAAATCTATCACGCGTCGTAAAGTGTTTTAACTTTCTCACATGATATCCCATAAATGATTTAAGACGTTGTCATCTTAAAGTTTTCTCACATGATATCGCATGAATGATTTAAGACACTGTCCTCTTAGCGTTCTTTTTATGCAACTCCTTCTCTGATTATGCATAACAAAGATCCCTTGGTATGCACTACATGAAGCTAGAGTCCAAATTAAGAAAACGAAAGAAATAAAGAAAAGAAAAGGAGAGGAGAATAAAGAGAGGTGGAATTTGGTGGCTTATTTTATAAGAGAGGTAAGTGAAGTGGAGAACCCTACCCACTTTTGAGTATTTGAACATAAAAGCACACATTAATCTGTTTATCTCAATTAGATGTAATTGATTAGGTTAAACTTCTCAACCGAACTTAATTAATGCTAACTTGAGCTTTATCATCTCCACTCCATCTCTACCAAACATAATTGCATATGTAGCTTGACTTTTTCATACGTAAAATTATAGTGACTTGATAACAAAGCCAGAGCAACTCATGCTCTTCTACTATATCAAACCATTTTCCACTCCCAATTTTGCATTTTCCCAACCACCATTTCTCCACATTTCCATCTCTCTCTTCGTTTGCGCTGTTTGATGGGAAAATGAGAGAAAGAATGGAAAGATTCGTTCTTCTTCCTTTCGCCATCGGTTGCATTTCTGAATCGAGCGTTGCTGTTGGCGGTGTGCAGCAGCAGCGGCCCAGAAGATCAAAACCGGACACAAATCCGTCTGCAATAAGTCTCTTTCTCATGCTCTCACACACACATATATACATGCATGTATGCTGTGTTTCTCTCTCTAGTTAGTTAGCTACCTAGCTTATGTTTTCGTGTCTTTTTGATGATTTGTGAAAAGGAACTAAAGAAGCCGAAGAGGAAGAAGATGAAGAAGATAGAATATCCGGCGAAAGCATGAAGAACACGTTTAGATCCCTGGCTCTTCCAAAACCAAACATATCAACCGGTGTTCATAGGCTCTTCAAGGGTTTCAAGAACTTCTCTCAGTTATTTGGTAAGTCTCAACGAACGCATGATTCGATTATCATTTCTTGCAATATTTTATGCCTAAAAACTGATCTAAATTTCGGGGAGGGAGATTCAAACTCGGATGTATGGAAGCACATCCGCTCTAGTCAATATGGCTACGCCCACGTCAGCTCTAGTTTATCTCTGATTACTCTTGTGGTGATTTTCTTGATAGTTTACAAGGATGATATGGAAGAAGTGCTGGAAATGGATATGGAAATAGGGTGTCCTACAGATGTGAAGCATGTGACACACATAGGTTGGGACGCTTCTGCTTCCGCTGCCTCTGCAACAACTGATCCTGTTAGGGGCTGGGATAATCTCGTATCGCCTGATCTGCTCTCTGTTTCCCCTCTTTCTTGAGCTCTCTGTGCCGTCACAAGCTGAAGCTGCAGTACCACCTCTTGTTCATGGCTCTTCTTCTTAATTTGTTCAACAGAGATTGGTGGATGTGATTATATTTAAGACATTAAGGGCTCGTTTGGTGCCTAGGATTTCCAAAATAGAAATCGAATCCTCTGTCTCCCCCGCTACGTACATTTCCACTATGACTCTTGAAGGTGTAATGGATGATATACAATTATGAATTTAATACAATTATGAATTTATGGTAATTTGAAGACCACTTGCTGTGACAAAGTGATGAAACATTAAAATATATATTTAACAAACAATGTAGCATACATTACATGATGAGTGGTTACAGTTTGACAAGAAGCAGCAAATCTACTTGAAGTAGTAAGGAAGGTTTACCACATAGAGGAGGAAGTAGGCCCAAGTGACGCCCGAAATGCCTCCGAAGAAGAACCCACCGGTGAATTTAGACCACCCTTCGGCGGTTTGGAGCTGATCGGGCTCCTTCTTTCGGCCGGTCAATGTCAAAGCGGGCGCCGAGGACGGCTCTCCTTCCTTGAAGGAGGAAATTCCATAGATTGTCAAGCAAAGGGTTAGGATGACCACAAGACCAGCAGCAGCCAAAGAGCCAGCTCCTCCGGCATAGGGAGTGTTCCTCAATGGGCCTGTCTTGACAAACGGGCCTACCAGAAGGTAACCGTGGGCTAGACCCACCTCAACACCCCTGAGAAGTGGGCTGACTGCTGTCCTGTAGGCTGGAAGGTTGGACAAGTACCAGGCAATCAAAGGGCTTGATGTCACTGGAGTCTCCAAGCTTCCAATGAAAGGATCACCGTTAATGGGTTGAATCACTTGGAAATTTTGCTGCAACATTGATTCAATCATCGTACCATAAAATTAGTAACACGTTAAACTCAGGAAACTGTTATTAACACTAGTATTTGCACTAAATCATATAATAGATCATAATTAAGTATTGTAACTATTTACGAGAGTTGAACTTAAAATCTTACTACTTACAAGTGTACTACTAAACCTAATGCTAGTGACTTTATATCAAAAATCCCCCTTTAAAATGTAGAGTAACATGCCGATTTGACCCTGAACTATCACTTAACTTTCAATCTCCTCCTAAACTTTTTAATTGGAAAATTAAAGACTTAAACTAATTTTTTTGGGCAATTTGCCCCTGATTTAATTTTTCATTCATTTCATCCAAATTTCTGTTAAATGTAAGCATATGCCCAACATGAGGATAGTTCGGTCGTTTCATTCTTTAAAATAATTGAACTCTTTAGATTTATAAAATATAAACCTATGCAAATATGTGTGATTCTATAACCTTTGTGTCTGAAGATCTAACGAAGTGATGTTTTGGTCCTCAAAGTAGAGTCACGTGATGTGCACGTAATAAGAGTTAACGTTAATTTGGATGAAATCTATTAAAAACTAACTGTAGGGGGACATCGGCCAAAAATATTAGTTTAAGTCCTTAATTTTTTAATTAAAAAATACTGGAGATATCGAATGTTAAGTGATAATTCAGGAAACAAATTGGCAGTTTAGTCTAAAATGTATAAGAAGTATATTCATATTCGATATTCTCTATACAAAACGCCGCTTAAAATGACAAACGCACCATTAACGAGATATCAATATTATATCAGTACGTTTTGTTAGGGATAGTCGATGACGGTAATACTTACATAGATGAAGTGAAAATGTATGATAAGGAGAAGTAAAATTACCTTGTCAGATTGGACAGCCTTGATGGAGAAGGAAGAGAGTCTCTTGGAAGGGAAGAGCCTGAGTGGGGAGGCAGAGAGGCCCTTGGGAGAAAGCAAGGCAGGTCTGGTGGTGATTGGAGAGGTGAAGTTGGATTTAAGCTGGCTGGCCATTGGAGAAGCTGAGGCCATCACTCTGCTTTTGCACCAGTTGCAGAAGATACACAGTTGTAATCAAAGAATGGCAGGGTAGAGGAGCAGAGGAGCAGAGTGAAGTGAACAGGTCAGATATTGGGCAAAGAAGTATACTTGCGAATGTGGTGAGATGTTGTGGTTGTCAGAGACCCCTCTGATTTCATTGGATGAGGTGTCGCCAAAACCTTATCCCTTATCCATCATTTACCCTTTTATTTATAGGAAATTTAATAAAAACTTATTGGTACTGTTTACTTTAACGAAAAATCATATTTTTATTATAAAAATTTAATTCTAGTACTATTCATTTACAACACATTTTTGTCATTTTCGTTAAAACTCAAAGTTTTCAAACATTTTTCATTAGTTTTTCTTTTATTTATTTTATGTTGTTTCACATATGAATATATTACATTTTTCTTTAAGAAAACTAATGGAAAGGGTTTGAAAACTTTGGGTTTTAATGATACGAACAAGATAAAGGGTAAAGTGAATAGTATCAGGTTTGACTTTTTAATGTAAAGATGTAGTTTTTCGTTAAAATGAACAGTACCGTGGATTTTTCGTTAAAACTCCCTTCTTCTTTTGGGTTCCAAAGTGGTTGGGGTAGCATAGATTTGGTGTTTATTTTCGTTTTGGTATTGGGTTAGATTGAATGGGCTACTGGTGATACCAACTTTGGTTGGACCATGACACAACTCATTACTTCTTATCAGCTGCACTACAAAAGTTTAGAATACACCACATACATTTTTAATTTAACGGCTTGAATGTATATTCTATCCAAATTCTCAATAAAATCCACCTTCTTTGGCCCAATACTATCAAATGCAAATGAGAAATATTGTTACACTACTAGCACAATATCAATAATAATATCGGACGAATCTTCAAACCAAATGCAATAATAAGATACAAATTGACGTTCCATGTATGAAATGAGTTTCGAGAAGTTTCCCAAACAATTCAGCCTATTTTGACCGTTGATCATCCACCATTTTCTTTCAAAATTAGAAGCTAACTAGATAAAGTGTTTAATTATAGTGAAATGCGAAGGTACTACTCAACCAACTTGCAAGCAAGAGAGATGAAAGTTGCAAATTGCAACCTATATACATACGTTCTCAAGTCACGTTTGCATGGATAGAATGAAGGGAACTTTAACGAAAAGTTCTCGATACTGTTTACTTTAACGAAAAATCATATTTTTACACTAAAAAATCAATCATGGTTTCTGGATCATTTGAAGTTTAGAAAATATATTTGAGAAGATCTTTTGATGACTATATAATGTTTTGTACGGATCTTTTCATAATGTTTCCACACATAACTTTACAAGTTGCATCAAAAGCACTGACAAGTTCTCTCGATATCACTTATCAGATTGTTTTAGCATATGTCAATATCCATTAACATGTATAGAACATGATTTGATCAACGACAACAAATCACCAAGTGTTTGATGAAATATCTTAGTAAATAAACAAAAATATTCTTTACGTGTTTGACACTTTATTCTATTTAAAAAAACTTCGAATCTGAAATCCCTTCTGAATGATACTGTCATTATAAAAAAGAGACGTAAAAAGGTGGTGAAGAAATCCATTGAACCTCAGGGAAAAAGACACAAAATTTCCTCTTTATTTTGACGCTTATGCAAATGGCCTCTTATCGACAGAATATTTTCCATTTTGACTCACCTGCTCGATGGCGCAGACCATGTGTTGTTCAATCTATATGTCAATTTTTGGAAAATGGATCAAATAATTGACTCAGTCCAACCTCATTCCAACTCGCCAATGGGCAGCCTTATTCCTTTTTACTACCATCAATCTTATATTTTTCTAAAGTTTTTCCTTTCCAACAATATAATATTCTAAATTACTTTAATTTATCAAGAGGAGAGTTCAAAATTAATTACAGTGAAGTATGCATGTTGTCTCGATCAATTGATCGAATTGAGGCCATCTCCAACAGAAGGGTTCAGAGGGTCAAAAATAGCTCGAAAACCATCTCCAACCGAATGATAGGCCAGAGGGCTCGTGGGCCCCACAAAATCTGAAATGGCCAAAGGGCCAACCGACTAGCCAGCCCCATGCTAGGTTGGATTTCGAATTTCCAACGGCTAATTGCTAACGTCAGCTAGCCGTTATAATTTTTATTTATTTTTTATTTTATTATTATTATTTTTTACAGAAATGTTTAACTAAAGGTTTTGGGCCAAAGTGTTTAAAAAGAATATTTAATTATAGGCCCACAAAGTATGTTTAACTAAAGGTTTGGGTGTTCTTTTTATAAGTTTTGGAGGCTGCTCAAATTCCTCCCACTGCCGAAGTGGGACTCCCACCCACTTCCTTTGGGTTTTTTTTTTTACCTACTTCCTCTCCCACAGTCTATGTGGGACTCTTCCACCGCCAATGTGGAACACACCCACCCACTTTCTTTCTTTTTTTTTTTTTGTTAATACTCTAAATAAAACCTCTCACATTTGACTTGAAATATATAAGTTGTATTTTTTAAATTTTAGTTGTAGTTATTAAATTTAAGTTGTATTTTTTAAATTTAAGTTGCTGTAGTTTTTAAATTTAAATAATAAATTATGTTTGGCCCTTTGGCCCTCGGTTGGAGATAGTAAGAAATATGACCTTGTACTATTCATTAAAATATTAATTTATTGGAGAACATGAGGGTTACAACGAGACATTTGCCAGCTTTAGGTTGGAGATGGTCTTATAAATTATAATTATGTGGTCGCTGGCTAATTAGAAAAATGAAGGTACTTGGTGGGTATGGTTTAATTTGTTTTGCCAAACAACAAATTTTCTCAAACCCCTGAGAAATCTAAAACTTAATGAGCGGTCGGTTTTGAATTACACACCAAAGGAAACTTCATATCTCAAACTAAAACCCTCCCAAATTATGGGTTTACTAAATATAAACAAACAAAAAAGCCCAAAAACTAAAAAAATAGCAAGAGGAAGTTACGTGTTCTAAAGCAAGACTGATGTCACATTTTTTTCTTACACATTCCTGTTAATTTCTGACAAACTGATTAAATAAATCCGCAAAAGTTAACTAACAATAATTAATAAAGATTTGCAAAAATAACAACAAAAATTTGCGAAAATCAATTCCCACCTTAAATTATTATTTTCTTATATAAAAAATAAAGGTAAAATAGATTATAAAAGGTGCCAAAAAATGAGAGGACAAGCCCACAAAAACCTCGGACTCGTTGAAGAAAGTTGCAATCCAAATCCATTTCCCAAAACCAAATCCAAATCAAAATCCAATCGCTTTCACATGAAATCCTGAAACCTCAATGGCGTCGTTTCCTCCTTCCCCTCCCTCCAAAACCATGACCTCCTCCTCCGCCTCCTCCGCCTCTTGTATTTCGTAACAGGAAACGCCTGCCCTCTGCATTCTGTGTTGTTCTCTGCGCGTACGTCGGAAGAGGGATGAAGAACGACGAGTACGACGACGTTTTGGAACCGCCCATCAATTTCTCGATGGTGGAGGATGGCATTTTCAGATCCGGCTTCCCGCAGCCGTCCAATTTTCCTTTCCTCAAATCGCTTAATCTCCGGTCAATCATGTAAAGTCTCTATCTTCTATACGCATTTTATTCGTATGCATGTATCTATCGCTCCATGTGTGTGTGTTTGAAGGTCGCATTGTGATTTGTATGGTGTTTGGTTGCTGAGAAAACTGAAGGATAATTGAATTACGTGAGAAAGAAAGGAAACTATTGGAAAAGAAATATCTTTTAATATTTGTTTCTGAGTTTTTAGCGTAAACTAACTGTTTTTGCATTGAAAAAGAATCTGAGTTACGTTTGTGATTCGTTTGAAGATTTTTTGTTTACTTACTGAGACCGTTTGATTGCTAAGAAAATGGAGGGAAAGAAAAGCAAGAAACTAGTTGAGAGTTGTCTGAGTTGTTTCTAGAGAGAAATCAGTTTATTTGCTTTATTGAGAATGTAGCGTTTATTGTGATTAATTCCGGCTTTTGGTGCAGATATTTGTGTCCCGAACCGTACCCAGAGGAGAATTTGGAGTTTCTTCGGTCTCAAAATATTCGGCTACTCCAGTTTGGAATTGAGGGAAAGACGGTAATACTCTCTCTCCCTCTCGGTGATTGCTTGCCGAAATTGTTCAGTTTACATCTTTTTGTGAGATTCATACATGCTATTTGTTTGCTCTTGATATATGCTAATGCGAGCACATACATCAGTAAATGCTAGAAGCGTTATTACGATTATTATGTTTTAATTGAATGGGGAACGACATGCTTGGATGACATTTGATGGAATATGGGCTATGTTATATAATGTGTTGTGCTGATAGGTTTATGAACATGTCTGTATGCAGGAGCCTTCTGTATCTATTCTTAAGGATACCATCTTAGAGGCTCTGAAAATCCTTATTGGTACTGGACTAATATGACAGTTCTGCCTTCTTTTTTATATTTAGCTTTGTATTTAAATTCTTTGCACTTTATAAGTTCTAACCGTAAGTATTTCGTGTTTCTAGATGGGAGAAATCATCCAGTTTTGATCCACTGCAAGCGTGGAAAGGTAAGTTTTTGAAGTTCTATTTAATTTTCAGCCATTAATATAATTTGTTTCACTGCTACATAGTGGCTTATGATACAGTAGTTGTTTCTTCATAGCTCATTAGCCTCATTTTAGCATTCATTTCATTGTTCACCAAATCAAAAGGAGTTTTCAGGGAACTGAATTTAGTATGTTTGATTTGAGCTTGGATGTAAGCATTTCATTCTTGTCGTTGATCATTGTTAATATTAGGAGAGTTTCTAACTCTTTTTTTCAGTTTCGAGGATGAGGAGGATCCAACGAGCTTACCTTATTATTAGATAAAGGGGAAAGAGTAGGGGGATAATCTATAAGGTCTGGTTCTCTAAAATTAGGATAGTCTCTGTCATTTCCCAAAACGGGTTGGCTTTGCTCAGGTTCCTACCGTTTAACATGCAAAGCTTCAGAAACTGAATGTCATACTTCAACTATTTAATGAACCTAAGAGTTATTGGTCTAGCGGTCAAGTCCTTGGTTTGCTCCCAAGTGGTCTAGGGTTCGACTCTCTCCCACGGTACCCACCTAGCAAATGCTAGAGTTTCTCGCCCCCCAAATGTTGTGGGGTCAGGCAGGGGGCCTAGTGATTAGTCAGGTCAAAGACCTGAATACACTGGTTTAACAAAAAATTTAAAAAATAAAAAGTATTTGATGTATTTGTTCTCAGCGAGAGATCTTTTCTATAAGAATTTATCTTTTGTTGTCGTATAGTTTATCGGTGTTTCTAGGTTTATCTTTTGAATGGGCGGAAAACACTAACCTTCTCTATAATACTACAACCTCATATAACAACAGATAATATATTTGGAGTAGCATCACAATAGGGCCTCCTTGAATTTCAAACTGATACACTGATATGCACTTTCTCTTGTTAATGACTGGAACTCTTAGGATTATGACGATTTTTGGATTATGGCAGTTCTTTCTCACCTTGTGTTTGCAATTTTGTTGTTACAGCATCGGACAGGTTGTCTTGTTGGTTGCCTACGAAAATTTCAGAATTGGTGTTTGTCTTCTGTGTTTGAGGAGTACCAGTGTTTTGCCGGCGTGAAATCTAGACCAACAGATTTAAGATTTATCGAAGGATTTGACATAATGCTGCTGAAGCAGTGCCTGTACAGCATTATCTACCAGTATCAAGGTTACGGTTCAAACAAGAGAAGGTTGTTATACAGAGAAGAGAATTTACAGAAGCCCCAAACCATGAAAGTTTAACAACACAGCTTTTGGAATTGGAGTCGGAGGGCCCTTATTTCTTTTTCTCCGGCGTTGCTACTAGTCTCACTTAGACATACATCAGTTTGTCACTGTGGCGTATAATATGAGTCCACGGTGTTATCCTCGTTAGCTTCTTCTGGTAAAAAATCGATTTGAAACCATTCCTCTTGGATTTGGTTTTCCAATGGCATCTCCGTTTATTAGTTTGGGATGATGTGGTGGTAATTGGTACAGACTCTACAGAAACCAATTTGTACTCTCTTAGTTTCGTAATGCTCTGTACAATAACATTACTACGGCTTGTTTGTTTATTCTTTAAGAACTTCTCTCTATTGATGAAGACTTCTCTACTTTGTGAATGTCATTTTCCAACTCTCTCTCTCTCTCTCTCGTCTGTTTGAAGGGATAAGCTGTAATATTGCAGATTTTATAATTTCAAGGGCATCCGTAAGGGTTTGGACTTATTCTCTCTACATCAATCTCCATGAATTTGAACTTTCCAACTCGTTTTACTTTGCCCTCCGAACTTTTAATTTCGTTTGAGCTCCCTAAAGTTTTGGTTTGTGCTAATATTCCATCAAATGTCAATTTGGTAACTATTTTTTGTTTATTCTACTAGGTGCGATTTGCATAACCCAACTTTTGTTGGCATATATGTTAACGAAATGCATAACTCACATTAGTAAATGATAATTGACTTGTGAGAAAACTTAAGAGAAATTGAAGCATACACGTTTTTAGAAAAGTCAGAGACTTCTAATGTACAAAACGTACAAAAATCAATGCTCAATCGTAATCGACAAAACAAACCGGTTGAGGCATTGACACAAATCAAAAGTTTAACGGCTTGTTTGAGAAGTGTTTAAAATGATTGTAAGAACTTTTAGAGAAAATATTTCAGAAACCAATCTTTAGTAAAACTGCTATTTATTCTTAATAAACATTTGAAATGCTTCTTGCAGAATGCGCTTCAAGTGCTTTTAAAACTAAAAAATATTTTCTCTAAAAACACTTTTAATTATTTAGAAACATTTTCGAAACAACCCCTAAGTTCTTAGAACCAAACTCAAAACTCATAAAGGATCATCAACTTCATTGGCCAATGGCCAATGGCCTATTGCGAAATATGTCCAAACTCTATTGATCTGAATCTGGATCCTCACCGGATCCTTTTTGTGAGGATTCTAGAGATCTGTGAATCATATCCATTCATTGTACATCGTGCGATCAGAAATCATTTTAAATATTTTTATTTAAAATTAAATACAAACAGTTTCTGACAAAAACTAACCGTACGATGTATGATAAATGAACCTGATTTACGAATCTTCAAAATCCTCGCCTTAAGGATCCGGGAGGATCCTGTTGATATTGATCCAACCAACACCCATACCATAAGGACCAATGAAATACGACCACGTCACCCGAGCTCGCATACGTCTGAGTACACCAAACAGATAAACCCTATATATAAAGGGCCACAAACATCGTCTCTCATCCTCATAAGTTTAAGGTCCTCTCCGTCCGAGTGGCCAACTGTTAGAGTTAGGGTTTTCATCTCCGCCGTCCGATTAAATCGCCTAACATGACAGGCAAAGCCAAGCCCAAGAAGCACACGGCCAAGGAGATCGCCGCCAAGATCGATGCTGCCACGACGAACCGCGGCGGCGGGAAGGCCGGTATAGCTGACCGGACCGGACAAGAGAAGGGAGGACACGCGAAGATGGAGTGCCCGCACTGCAAGATCACGGCGCCGGACGTAAAGTCGATCAAGATTCACCACGAGGCTCGTCATCCGAAGATCCCGTTCGAGGAGGAGAAAGTTGTAAACCGCCACGCCAGCACCAGCACCCAGCCGGAGCCGGTCAAGGACGCTAACAAGCCACGCCCCGGCGTCCGTGGAAGCCTGAAGAAGTGAAGTTTCCGGTCAAAATCGAATCAAATCTACCAAAGGAAGGGGCTTTCTGGTGCTTTGGGGGTAAAATTACTAGATTGGGGTCGGACTCGGAGTGGTGCTTGTTATGGTGGGGAAGTGGGTTTATGGGTATTTTGGGTACTTTAATTTTGGAATATTATGATGGGATGTATATTAGTCTCTGTTTCTTGCTTCTATTCCAAAGATGATGATCAAATCAATGTTTGAGAATTGATTCCATGTGCTTTCTAAATCAGTTTCTTTCTTGATGTTTTGATAATTATTATTACTTAATAGCATACTTATATTAATGGTGGCTTAAAACAAGAGATTGTGATTTAATTTACTGATTATCGTGTTGCTGTGTTGAAATGATTCAAACACTGTTAACTAAAAACCCATTCTTCCAGTTTCAGACGCATATATTCATCCGTATCAACGAATCTCTTTGTTTCCGGCGTCGGAAAACCGAAGTCTTCTTGATTCCGGTGGCGGAAATCGGAATGCTGCTATGTGGGGATGCATAGAATCTGTGAAATATGCAATTTGGAACATCTGGAAACTTAAAATTCTATGCTATCCATGTGATATAAATTGTTGCTCCAAAGACTTCCAGCTTCAAAAGAAAACTGTTATCATCACCTCTAGGGTTTCAAGGTATTGCAATCAAGCACAGTACAGAGAGAGAGAGAGAGAGAGAGAGAGAGAGAGTAATACTAAAGATGTATTAATATTCATGTTGATAAAGTTGATGAAGAAACCAGTAAACCTTTTTGTATGAATTTTTTGTATGGGAATTTTATACCATGTTCTATGGAAAACAAGAATAAACTGTCACAATGAAAATCTGCAAGAAAATAGAACCTTTATCACTAGTTCGAGGCGAGCGGGAAACCAAAATCTGCCTCAGCTGATGACTGCTTTAGAAGCAAAAGAACAAAAACAAACTATGATGGATAACCTCCCATGACCCTGTGATAGAATAGCGATGACGACGACGACAATGATGCACTTGACTGATCCATTATTGGTAAGCGGGCATCATAGAGGTTATCATCCTTGTGCTCTTGTTTAGGCTTTAGGAATCTTACATCATTCTCCTGCAGCTGCTGTCCTGAAAAATAAGGCTGTAGGGGGCAAACTGATTTTCCATTGTTGATATCATAGCCGGCAAGAGGGAGGTTCCCGGATGGCTGAAGGTTCATAGGCAGTGAAATTGGGAAGTCTGGCACAATAGAACCAGCCTGATGGGCAACATTGTGTCTGAACGAGGCATACGGCATGGTATTTTGCAGAGGAGGATATTTCATTTGGTAAAGGGAGGAAGCTCCAAATTTCATGTCATTATTGAAATTCCCAAGAAAATTAGGTCTCATGTATGCGTCATGAAATTCCGTTTTTCTATCAAAATGAGGTGCAAGATCTTGCATTTGTGTCTCAGGCCTCGGAACATTGGTATTTCTGGGTAATGCCAAAGCTGGCTGAGCATTGGCAGTAGATGGAAGTCCATTACTGCTACTTGAATTCATGTGATTGCTGTTTCTCGCTGCAGGCACTTCGTGGTTGTGTTTTCCCTCGTACGTTGTAATTACGAATTTCAGATCATGGGAGGCCCTTTCCACATGCTTCCTAACTGGACATCCTGCACTTGTGCATTTGTAATAGCTCCTATAGGATGAAGAATGGTACAAAGATTAACTGGATACATAGAAAACTTTAAGCAAACCAAATTGTGAAATTATGGATTATGAGAAAATATCTTATTTGAAGAAATAAATTACAAGAAGGAAATGTCATCCCCTGTTACTATATGTTATAATGAACTCTTCTATGCTCATAACTCGGCAGAAATCCATACTAACCAGTTCAATGAAATGAGAGAGCGAATGAGAGAAGAGCATACCTAGGGTTTGGATTTCCTTTGACCACTTTTTGCCCATACTTCCGCCAGCGATAGCCATCATCAAGTATGTCGATTTCGCTCTCAATTTGGACAACTACTCTTGGTTCACGGACAGCCCTGGATGCTAAATTTGTTTCAATCATGCAGCTCTCCTTCTTCCTGGAAGGGAAACCAATGGAGAATATTATAACCTTGTTCAGTCATGGCATCCTGGAAAAAGAAACCTTCGAGATAAACAGAAAATCACTTGCCTTCTTTTTGAATCAGATTCTTCATCATCTGCATCATCTCCAAGTGATATGATTCCTTGGGTGGCCCGATCTTCATCATCATGACTAGCAAGTGTGGATGAAAGCTCTGGAGTTTCAGCTGATTCAAAGATACTCATGGACTTCCCTTGAGTAGTTGAAAATGGATCAGAAAGCTCGGTAACAACAGATGCTGAGGATGTCCTTTCCAGACCATCAGTCCTCCCGTCATAGCCAACTTTCATATCCTTACAAGACTGACTATTTGTCCAAACTGGCCCACCTTCACCTTTGACAGCGGCCCTACTACCTTCACCCATCTCTGACATCTCATCACATGAAAATGATGGTCCAAGCGATGCCCCAGTTCGACGGTTAGGCTGCGGTTTTGCATGATTATGAGGAGCTCCCTTGTAGATGATCTCTGTTATTTGCCCATCATAGGATCGTTCCACCTTTTTCTTGACCTGACAATTTGGGTGCGTGCATTTATAATAACTCCTTGGATATTCACTACCTTTTACCTGTTTCTGCCCATACTTCCTCCAATTGTATCCATCTTCTGAAGTCCTTACCATTCCTGCAGATGGGTATGACCCTTTTTGCTCTCCTTCCGAAAAGTGATGGGACCCAAGATCCTCCCCATGAATCGATTCTTTGGGAAGAGAGTTTTGATCACTAGCTGCACTGGAATGAGACATTTGCAAATCTGCGCCGTTGGCAATCATAATCACACTGTTTAAGTTTCTAACATCAGAGGACGGATCCACAGAATAGTTCGTTGCATTAGCTTCTTCTGGAAACCCCATCGGGAATTGAAACTCCATTGGTGGTTGCTCCAAAACAAGAGCTTGGTAGTCAACAGTAGACCCCTGAGGAAAAATGCAATGGGAAGATACCAAACTCATTCAAACACAACCTCGCAAAAAATTATAAAATAATTTATTGGTAAGTTCAGACAGGAAACTACACCCTTGGAAAACTTATCAAAATCACTCCCCCTTGGACATTTTAGTTTAAACAGGAAACATTAGCATTAACATTATGATTGCAACTTATCAAAATGTGCACTGGAAATATTAACATTTTGGTTTAAACAAGTACCGTTGGACATCATGATTTGAACATTATGATTCCAATGACTAACTATAAAGTTACAACTAGACACTTCATTTACATCGGTTTCCAAATAATGCTTCAACTGTCGTAAACTACAAGGAGATACTGTTTCAAGGTTCTTTAGTATTTAAAATATCAATCTGTTGGGCTGCCACATTTGGAGAAAGTAATTAGACCAGAAAAAAGAAAGTTTAAAAACCTCTTTCCAAATTTAATTTGAGACTACTGAATTCTAAAACATATTAAGTCGAGACCTTTACCGGATTTTGGAAACTAGAATAGGCCGGCCTGTAACCATCATCTTCATGAGTTCCTGATTTCAGCAGCAAGCTGTTATCATTGGGAGGATGCAATGGAAAAGTTCCGGTGGTGGGAGATGGAAGCGCCTAGAAGAATACAACAATCGAAGATCATAGACAACATCACAAAGAAAGAAAAAAAGCTTTGGACCATGCAACTCTCTCAACATCCATAGTATTCATATGCCTTCTAGCTTTTGGTGATTGTATTTTAAACCAAACAATACCAAAGCAGAGACTTTTATACAAAAGGTGCAGAATAACAAATTCAGATGTTATACTTCTCTATCTAAACAATCCAAATTATAAATGAACAAAATTAAGTTAATCACTTCTTCTATTAATGAGTAGCACCCAAATACTAATACAAGTAAAAACTGTTATTCTGTTTGACATTTACTTTCTCCCTAGTACCAAATTGCTTGCAACCAGATGCAGATAAACTACTGAAGTTCAGAAACTCAAAAGTTCACCAAAAAAAAAAAAACCATACAAAGTTATACATTTCCTTGATCACACTGCAGAATTCTAGACCGCTCCGTGGTATCCTATACTCCGAGGTTTTTCGAAACGAACAAAGCCCAGAAAGAATATACAGTCTTAATGCATTTACCTCCAAAAGAAGAAAAACCCAAAATTTACAACAAAAAAAAAAAAAGAAGGAAAACCATCAAAATTAACACAAAAAAAAAAAAAAAAAAAAAAGAAGAACCTGAGAATTGGGGAGCATCATGGGGGAGTCGAGCAGAGCCGTGGGGCTGATACCAGCCGGAATAGTAAGGCACGGGGACCTCGCCGGTGGAGAATGCAGAGGACTGGTTGTCCTAAAACGCGCCGTATTGATCCTCTCCGCATTGAATCCACACTTGGCTGCCCTCCTCTCTGCTATGCTAATGCTGCTCCCTGCTCCACCACCACCACCGCCTCCTCTTCCTTTGGCTTTGCTCTCCGCAACCGCGTCGTCTTCTTGCTCTATTTTTCTTAAAAATCTCATCTTTTTGTTTTAACACTATAAATTTTGTGTCTGTGTGTTGGGATTTTCCTGCTAGAGTGACAAGGCTGTGACTCTGCCTCTCTCTCCAACAGCAAGAATTTTGTAAAAACCCTAACTTTGGTTTTTGGTTTCAGCTCCTCCTCCCTGAATGGTTGCGGAGCTGAAACCTCTTCCTTCTTATTGTATCCAAACGAATAGTAAATAAATAAAAAAGGGGTTTGATTTAAATTCCGGAAAAAATGAACAGGCTTTTTATTTTTCAAGTTTCTATGTCTATAAATTTATGGTACAAAATTTATGTTTTCCAAGAAGAAGAACAACCGTATTGGATTTAGAGAGAGAGAGAGAGAGAGAGAGGAAGAAGAAGAAGGGGAGAGAGAGAGAGAGAGAGAGAGCTGGGTTTATAGTCCTACGCTGCTGGGTACAAATATACAAAATGTATTTTTGTTGCAGAAAAACGGAAAAGCAAAGAAATATTTGGTTTGTGCCCGAGAACGGTGAAGTGACAGTCACTCTTAACCAAGAAAGTTGGGAAGTGTGGGACCCACCGAATTAAAATTAAAGAGGAAATTAAGGGGTGCTGAGGTGGAGGAAGTCGTGAACTCTAACGAGCAAAGATGAAAGCTTTTTTCGGAAACGACACCTCTCTTCTTCTTATCAGAAACCATGAACTCAAACAAACTCCACACAAAAATCCAATACGTGTTCATTCTTTACAATGTTTTCCACGTAAATCTAGATAAAGTTTGTTTCCTTTCTTCCTTTTCATTTCAATTTTCTCTTTAAGTTTCTACTATTTATTTTGTTATTATTTTCTAATTTCTTTAGTCTCGTACTTTTAATGTGGTCATAAATTAAATGACAAATGATTATAAATTTCTCAATTTTAGATGACAAAGAAAACATTTTCATCAAACTGTATTCAAGTTTTAACCTTATCTAATTTATTGCTCGTGTTTCGTAAGCATGATGCTGCAATACTTACCATGTATTATTTGCTTAATTCTCTTACCAAATATAGTAAATACGTTTTACTTGGCACATATTTTTGGTATTAGTTTCTTAATGAGTAATTGGTGTAGTTTTATTTCGATAATGTAATAGGTTTGTGTAGGGAGTTGGAGACTTAAGCGTGGGATTTGGTTTGCTAATGGCTAGCCGCAAATCTTGAGAAGCAGGTTTGCTTTTTGTTTGTATAATCCAAATCAATATGCGGTTAGAAGTCCCACGTGGCTGAGTCTCCTAATTTACGAGCACATGATAAATAGAATCTCTGCCACTTTATGTTTTTGGCATACTATTTTATAATGTTGACACAAAAATTAACGTTAAATTGTTGAATGGCAGGTATTCATATTTTTGGCACACTGTTTTATAATATTAACACAAAAATTAACGTTAAATTATTGAATGACAGAGCATTACCTTGAGAGAGTAGCATTTCTTGTGTGTGCGATTGTTGTAGCATTTCACTTAATATTCGTGCTAACTATGATTTCATGTCTCTTACGTAGAAACAGCATTTGGTTTTGGTTTGAATTCAAAAGTCGATGAAATGAGTTAATGATTCCAACTAGGATTTACTTTAATGGATTCATCATAATTAGCATGTTATCCATTACCCAACGGCACTTAATACTATTTACTTCCTAACCATGCATGCCATATGTAGCCCAAACTCGTGTGTAATAATTCCTCCTCCTATATGAACGTTAACTCATGAATTTTATTATAGCTTTCAACACAAGTTTTTACTTTATACAAATGAATGATACTCCACACCATATTAATCTTTAGACTTGTTTGGAACCGTTTTTAAAATGACTGAAGATACTTTTGGTGAATGTTTTTTAATCTAATCTTTCTTAGTAAAAATTCAAGTGGATTCTGAAAAAACACTTGAAGTGCTTCCTGCAAAAAAACACATATCTTATGTTTTTTTTTTCTTTCCAAAAAGCACGTGAAGTGATTTTGAAACCCAAAATCAATTCACCAAAAAACTTTCAGTTATTTTAAAAACACTTCCAAACGAGTACTAAGTTATGGGGAGGAGATTCAAACTTAAATGCATATAGAGAGAAGCACATTGTTATAGCGAACTTGACTAAACAAGTACAGTATTTTTATGTAATTAAACCAAAAATTTTACTCGATACAGCTACTACTTTGCTAAGAGATTGTGTTCAGGTTTACATTTACGCAACCTATTAAGCTAACGAGTTTATGTTCACCAACAATTCCTACAAGAACAAGCACCATCCTTGAATGGTGGAACCTATGAGCATCTCTCATTACAATTTCCCTTCCAGTAACCTTGGAGCTAAACTTGGAAGCTGTATGACAATCCCCACAAACTCTCAGATTCTTCTTAATTCTGATAACCCTTTCCGGCCCTAAATTCAACGGTCCGAAAACTACTGCAAGCTTCTTACTAAGCGCATACATGGAGTTCCGCTGCTGACATGGGTATGTGCAGTTTGACAACAGACCGAACAGATGTCAACTCCTCAAACAGCAACATTCCACGTCGCATCTTTTCCTTTCATGCAAATTACACACCTGGAAGTCTGCCTCTCGCTATGTTTAGCTTTATCTAGCGTTCTCTCTCTCTCTGATTCGGAGACTCAGAGATATGGATGCTACTTACCCCGCATCAACAATCACCCACCCGCCGCCGCCTCCACCACCAGAGACACCAACATTTGATGAAGATGATGAGTATGGACTACCAAAACGAACAGATTGGCTCTCAAAGCTTGTGTCTTTACAAGCAGATTTGATTTACAACTGCTTTTCCACTCTCTCCACCTCCATTTTCTCCCTCCTGTCTGCCGCCTCCGAGTCTTACCACCAAGCTAGGGGATCACGAGCCACATCTGGAGATGACGAGAGCGAGGATGTTCAAGACCTGCTAAGAATATGGCAGCGAAGCAGAAGCAAAAGAAAGGCAATCTACTTGCAACCTGGAGATATGAATTTGCCAGAAGCTGTTGGCTCTTCTGGAGCCTCAACAATTAGCATTACAAGAGACGATGCAAGTGTTGCTGCTACCGAAGATGTTGGGGACTCGGAATCGGTCTGTTTATAAGGTGACGTAAATTATGCAAAATTATGTACCTGTTGCCTTCTGTTAATATATATGACTAAATTTACTGATCAAAAGATAATCATTATTGATAAACCAACTAAAACATAGTTACGAGTTCGATATCACGCGATTTTGCTTAATACAGTAGAAATTTGGAAAATGAGGCAAAGACACAACAGCTTAGCAATTGAAACAAAGAAGGACACACATTTCGTGCAACAGCGTGTTGTATACAGCGGTTGCAGGAAACAAGCTTTCCTTCCAAATGGTGTGCTTAAGGTTTAGACAGATAACTCGGTACGAGAAATCAAAATTCCATCGGTGTCTGCATAAAGCCATTCTCCGTCACAGATCCTTATCCCGGCAATGCTTATTGGTACCTGTTTCTCTCCGATCCCTTTCTTGTTGGCTTTCATGGGATGGGACGCCAGAGCTCTCACGCCAATGTCGCAACCGTTAATCTCGTCGACATCTCTTATGCAGCCATTGACCACTATACCTGCCCAGCCGTTATTCTGAGCTTGAACCACAGGGTTGCCTCCCAATATTGCACACCGCTTGCTTCCACCTCCGTCCACAACAAGAACTCTTCCATTGCCCTTCTCCTCGAGAAAGGAACGGACAAGGACATTGTCTTCAAATACCTTTAAGGTAACTATTTGTCCAGAGAAGACCGGTCGCCGGCCATATATCTGGAATATTGGCTCAAGCACCCGAAGATCACCACTCCCAATCAACTGAGAGTGAGCATCGCAAACTTCAGCAGTTGTAACCAAGGCCATTTGTTCCCAGCACCTTCATGGAAAGACAAGGATCAATGTGTTAGAACGAGAACAGGCAACTTATCGAAGGTTTTTCACCGGAAAATGTTATAGCATAGCACATGGAGGATGCCATGAGAGGTTTGATGGGAGAAGACGAAATTATAAGAATCCCGCAAATACTAATTGTTACAGAAGTATGCTTTATATGAAACAATAAGTGGTTGCAATGCAAAGACTGCAATGTTAGAGTCTTGCACACACTAGGATTAACAGAAGCATCAGTAGTACAATCGGCGCTTGAAATGGAGTTGTTCAAATTAAAATCAAGAGACCGATAGTTTAAAAAGCCGATTAATAGTTCAAGTCATAATCTAATTCATCTTCGGAAAATTTTCTTCAACAAAGAGTGTCAAAAAACATAAATTTTGTAGAGTTGAAGAGAAACACTGCAGATTTGCCTTCAAAATGAGAAAATGCAACAGCTCAAGAATTTTCGTTGGCAACAAACATCGATTCCCAGCAACAGCAACAAAGGGAAAATATACACAACAAATACAGGGGAACGCGGAGATCGCAGTGAAAGAAGACCGAATTGATAAAACAGCAACTAAGCTAACATTCGTTTTCCCCCAGCCGAGACATGGTTTTCGAAATCCGGAAACAATTGAAACCGGCATCATTTTATAGAAGGCAGAGAAGATATTGTAAATCGTACATGTTTGGATTCACTCAAATTACAGAAAAATGCACACAAGATATTCAAATCTCAATCTCCTATAAAAAGTTAAAACTAATTACGAATTCATATACAAAATTTCATAAGTTAAGACCAAGCACGCATTCTGAACGCGGAAAAAAGCCAAACCTCATCCACACAGACACACGCAACGATTGGATCTTTATGTTGTTCGCATCACTATACAGATTCAGAACTAACAAGATTAATCAGAAAGCTTAACTCCATTAATTATTGATTAAATTATTAATCACACGAGCTGGTTTTGATCTAATTTTCATAAAATCCAAGAAATACACCCAACGATCCAAATCAATACAGAAAAACAAAAAAAGTTGATTAATTTTCATATTGGGTCGGCCTGTATGCCAGAGAAATGCAAGAAATTGAAATTTGACAACAATTTGATCAACCAGACAAGCGAATCAGAGAAATCAAGAGAAACGAGGAGATGAAATCGGGCGGCTAATAATAAAAGCTGTTACCTCGAAGGATGGAGCAGGACACGAGAACAGAGCTGAGTAGTTCAGTTGTGAGTATGGGAAGGGAAGGAAGGAAAAGGAAGAAGCTTTGAGGGAGAGAGAGAATCTGTGTTAGACTGTAAAGCGCGTGCAGATAGTCTTCATCCTAAGAATTATGCTGTTGCTGTCTCTTTTCAAAGTTGTTAAATCAGGAGATACAATAAGTGGAGCATAGCATACATGACTTTTAGATGTGAAAAAAGATTGTGATCCACGATCGATGCGCCTGTAGAACACTACATATAAGCGATATTTTGACAATTTTATTTTTTAATTATATAATGATATTTAGTGTTCTGCTCGGCGTTTGAGTTAGACATGGTAATTTCTTACACGATTTGTTAACACGACAT